TAAAAATGTATAAAAAACATGTCTATGAAGTGTTTTGCTCAAAATACCAACAGATCACCCATTCTAGCCATGCCTCATATCCCTGTATTTCACTTCCTGTTACTAAAGTACGACGGGCCACACTTAGAAAAAAATAAATTGAGAGATTTCGAATAAAGTCATAATAATATCAGAATAAAGTCATAGTTACAAGAATAAAGTCGTAATATTACGAGAATAAAGTCGTAATATTACGAGAATAAAGTCATAATTACGAGATTAAAGTCGTAGTTTCATAACCGACTTGAGAAGGAGACAACAGCAGCGTCCTGCAATAAAATGAGGACTGTGGAGCATCTTGTGAAGCAGTACTTTAGTTTAGGTTTCTCAAATAACGAAATACTTAATCTTTTGGCACATCAGCATCAGATTATCATAAGTATTAGAACTTTGAAAAGGTTGTGCAAGAAACTATGTCAATTATTTAGAAGAAAGACTGTTTGACAATTTGTTGGTATTACATTGAGTATATTTTTGGTGCTTTAACCTTGTTGGCCAGGATTATACAGAGGAAAGACCCCGAAACAGGAGAGAGGGAGAAGTCCTGTCGGATTGCCGGGGGAGACCACGACCACCGACGGGATCGTCAGAAGGCACCTCCCGGCTCCGGTCGACGGGAAGACCGGGAGTGCAGAGACTTCCTAGCCGGAGTCACCGTAGGCGTTCCACGAGGACAAGTACGCGGGTGTCGTCGAGGCCACTGTACAAGGGTGTGAGTCCGGCAAGTGGTACGGGCAGCTATCCACGCTCATTGCAGGGGTCGGGACGTTGTTCTGGGGAGGCGTGGCATGGACGTCACCTGGACGACAAGAAGGAGAAACACCCTACGGTGTATTTTGACAAACGTGGAAGGAACTACATCGCGGTACCTTGACTAAAGTGCAGGTTTCTAACAAACTAACAATATGAAGCTATAGAAGTTAGCACTGTCGATACAACGTCTGTCCCCGCTCCCTTGTAGGTTCTGCTGACTAAGTTTTTTGTTAGAAGTTGGAGGTAACAATGTAAGAGAACAGGCGACAATGTTTAGCGCGTGTATTATAGGTCACTGATGCAAAAACAGGCTGTCTGTTGTTTACAACAACCCAGATACACAAAAAAGAGGTTACAACGGAAGAAACCGGAAGGAGGTTAAAACCTTGCGAGAGTAATACGAGAAGGAGAACGGGAATTATACCAACTTTTGTTGTTGAGAGTCTAATTACTAAGAGAACAGACTTGTATTCAAAAAGTTTCGTTTGTAGGACTCTTTGTCTGATATGTGGTAAGTACGTACCCCGGATTACATGTAATTTAAGACGTTCTTCGGTTCGTACTTAAACGGAAAAACACATTTTATTTGAGTGAGACAACGTAGTTATTACGACTTACAGTCTGGTATAAGTAGGTAGCCATACCGGTATAGTATTTAACATGTGTGAGACGTCAAATTTGGTTACGCAAATAGAAAGAAAGGGGCAAAATGATATTTGGGGGAAATACACCCCCCCTCCTTTATGAAAAGAAAAAGAACCCGGACGATATAGACTAGGAGGAGGCAGTAAAGACTATGGTGACGGTATTGAGGTAGATTAATTTGCAGCGTCAAGTGAACGACGTCGCTCTTGCTCCATTTATTGACAGTCTTTATCTATCCGCAATGAACACTCCTCAGAGAATACAAAAATCTAACGTCAAAATCACACCGTTGGTAATATCGTCATTCCAAGAAAAGATAAACGTTAACAACAGTCAAATCTCTATCTGCGTCAAGTAGATGTGGTATGGGTCGTCTTTGCTATATGTATCAATTCGCACATAGCACAAGAATAGTGGATTGTAACTTAAATGGACACATGTCACCGGGCAGCCCCCTCTCGCAGATCTTCTCGAGCGAAGGGACTTATCTAGCACTCCTCTTCTTCCAAGGATTACAGACTGAAGCCTCACTCTGCGACGTCTGCAGTGCGAGCTCCTTTCCAGTGGCGCATGTTGTATATTCAAATACGACTTACGTCGTAATATGGCAGTAAAATAATATAGAGTAGCGTATATTCTGTTTTTATCTCAATATATCTTTCAGCTTATCGTGTCCTACGTCATTTTGTCTCTCTGATGTGAATACCGTTGTGTTTCTTTATGTATCCGCATATCCACAAGTACCTTGATTTTCTCAAGAGTACGTTTACATTTCAAGACATTATCCTTTCAAATAAATCTCACTCCCTTGTTGTCTTGAATCGCCACACTTTCGCTAGATACAAAAAATCTCCCTCACATAAAAAAACATTTTATAGGTAGTTCTTTTTCTTTTAGGTTCGAATAATAATGAAAGTACCACCGTCGTAGATAGTACCAAACCGTACTAAATACGTACATCACTGAACCGACCATGGGGCACTCTTTCCCTACACACCGAATAACACGTATAGTTTTCAACACAAATAATTTCTTCGTTTAGTATGGTCTAATGTGTCTCAGTGAACGTCCAGAAAATAAAACATATATAGATCCGATTAAATACGACATTAGACACGGCTCTCTCTATTATAGTTATTTTTTAATTTTGAGCGTCCAGTATCCATAAACTATACATGTTTTATTCGCCGGTGTCTTAACGTCCTCCCTTTCTGTACTCCGCTCGGACAAGACTTCGCGATGACGAGTGATTTCACTTAGTATACTTGCATAACAGACCTCCGCTACTGCCACATACAAAAATTCATAAGAAGACGTGACTGCTGGTTTAGTCAACGCAAGAGAACGAGTCAACAGGGTTAGGCGCGCTATCTTGCTCTGAACATCAGAGTATATCTCAAAACATCAGCCTGAATAAACTTTAGAGCTGCGCTGAGAACATATTACTCTTCTGTGTCCCATTCAGTACTTACATCGAAGCTCGCGATTATATCTGTTATATAACGTTAAACAGTGGGATATACATTTACAAGATACCACTAAGCGAAACCTAATAACCCGTGCAGCGATCGAGTTGTCGCTCAGTTTCGCACAGTCCGCGTACGGGCCGAGCTCAGCGTGTCAAAGGGAGTGCCTTTCCTGCCTCCGATCGCAAGCAGGGACCCACCGCAACACCGTGTGGTGTAGGACGTGAAAGCGCGGAATGTGTGTATTACTTCGACAGAAGGAAAACACACCGACTCGTAGTACGATCGGTCCGTTGATATGAGCGCTTTCCTCGAGACTAAACTACTAGAACTTAACCTACACACGATACTCCATTTCCGTCACGAGAGACAGTGTGTTACTCTTTCTTCACACCTTGAAAACATAATTCATGTGTATGTAAACTTCCAAACTTTAAAGGGTAACATAGCCCGGACAGACGTAATTACGTACTGAAGGTGTCATACCCTTATTTTATTGTAGGACACTTTCCTACACCATACTTTTGTATAACTCCGGAACGACGACAGACACGTGTTACCTTACACAAGAATGTACCATTTTCGATTAGAGACCTTCTGACTTTATCCAACCTACTCCGAAACGGGAAGTTTAAAACTAAAACATGTACCACAAACTACAAGATAGTATCCTCAAAAAAACAAAAATATTAACACATTTAACACACATTTCGCGTGTCTCTAATAGTCAGTAAGTAGGTTAAATAGTTAAAAGATAATGTTACCGGGTACATATGCGATTTTACCTAGTGCCAAATTCACATATGTTTTATAAAATTATAAAGGGGTACCTTATAAACATAAATTAACAGTTTACAACGTTATACTGTGGTAAGTTTTTTGAGTACGTCTTAATATCAAAGTTAACATAGTAACTACTAGATGCGCCTCATAATCCCGTGTGAATTCCCTTTTTTTGAGCTCTAAAATCTCTTATTTCAGTATCAATGCTCTTATTTCAGCATTACAATGCTTTATCTTCATTATTTAATTGCTCTAAAGTCTTCAGCATCAAAGTATTCAGTGAACTCTTCGCCTGAACCTCCTCTAACAGAGGAAAGACGTCTCCTTGCGACCAAGACCGGCTGATGTAAATATCAAGTGTAACGTAAATCGAATACGAAAATAGGTTGCGCTGAATTATTCACTTAAGCTGGTTTGTTCTATGTTTGAACTTCTTTTGTCTACTATATTCATGTAGTCCAAAGTATCTCTATTTGTAAAGTTCACGATGAGTTGACCGAAATCTATTGCGGTCAGGAAAATAAATCGATATATATCACGGGAAACAATCATTAAGATTTAGGCGAGGCTTCACCTCAGCTTTCTCTACTCAATTAATCAGGACGCGGGCCTTCTACACGTTCGAAAGACGACAGGACTAAGTTACCCCTCGAGTAAGGCTAAGTGGTGTTCCGATAGCAGTAGTAGCTGAGGAAGACCTAAGTTCGGGAACTAAATGTAGATAGCAAAGAAACTTTGTTGGTTATAGGGGAAACTTAGTCGGCATCTACATTTGGTGCTATCGGAACTATCAGCCGGTCTTGATCGGTATAAGGAGGCACGTCTCCCTGTAGAGGAGGTTCANTTCTACTTCTTAAATTTCCCAAACAGGCTGGTTCCTTTAGTTTGAATGTGTGTTTGGTGGCGTGATCATTATTATTCAGAGTCATTGCGTGCCTATTGATTTGAATCAATAGGCACGCAATGACTCTGAATAATAATGATCACGCCACCAAACACACATTCAAACTAAAGGAACCAGCCTGTTTGGGAAATTTAAGAAGTAGAAAGTACAGGTATTTGTGTTCAAAATGTGAGAAGTAGAAAGTACAGGTATTTGGGTTCAAAATGTGAGAAGTAGAAAGTACAGGTATTTGGGTTCAAAATTTAAGAAGTAGAAAGTACAGGTATTTGGGTTCAAAATTTAAGAAGTAGAAAGTACAGGTATTTGGGTTCAAAATGTAAGAAGGTAAATTAAAAAGTACTCAGAAAAATAATTAGAGTAAAGTACTGATCCCAGAAACATTTACTTAAGTACAGTAACAAAGTATTTGTACTCCACTACTTCCCACCTCTGATTACATTTATTGAAACTCTGTGTATAGCACATCCGCTGAAGAGAAGCCTTGTTGTGGGCTGAAGGAACAGTCACCCTGTAATAAAGCAGGCTGAGGTCAGCAGACTCCCCATGTGACGGCCCACCGCCCTGGATTAGCTGCTGTAAGCCTATTAAAGCGCTCTGGACTTCACTCAGTCCCTGCAGCATGCTCACAGTGTTGCAGGAGCCGGCTGAAACTCAGGCGTCACAACAGGCCGGACGTCCTGCTGCTGGAGTTCCCTTCGGCCAGAGAGTCACGCCGAATAATCAGGTGCATTCCTGAATTTAAATGTGGCATTATGGACATGAACACTAGAAATAGAGGAATAATGCAACAACACAACACATATATATCACCATTTTGTCAACACCAAGTGGTTAACAGGTAGCACTGAGTTTAAGTCTTACATGTCCACCATTGACGTAAAATAAAGATATGAGTAGACCGGAGACTTTTTGATGCTGCTGCAAGGTTTATTCTATGTCCATGCTGCAAATATGAGTTTAATTTGTCCATCTGTTATGCATCCTATTCAGTAGAGGATACATATTATTTTCTATTCAGTCGTTTACATTTTACATATAGTTTACAGCTTATATTTCCTTACATATAGGCTATAGCCTTATCCTTGAAGGATAAATGCACTTTGTACACGTTAGTATCAAAAGTCAGTGTACAACAGGTGCCGTTATGCAAGCATTGCCACGTATGTTTTTTGGCGGTCTATTTAAAAAAGTTAAAAAATAGAAAGAGACAGAAAACACAAGCTGCTTTGTTGTGCTTTAATTCAGACAGTGAACCGCATCAGATGAAACTGAAATCAAACTAAATAACCTAAATGTTTTTAAAGATGCTCTGTTGCTCACATCTTCCCTCCCTGCCCCCCCGGCTGCAGGGAGCTGAAGCGCAGCAGCGGGACATCCCTGAAGCCCCGGGCAGGAGGGGGTGGGGGGGGCAGCTCAGAGTCAGCATGATAGTGGTGGGTTGCGGTGTTGTTGGTGTTGTTGTTGTTGTTGTTGGGGTCGGCGTGGCCCCGCAGCAGGAAGGCCCCCCTGTGGTGGCGGAGGTACAGCAGCCCGGCGGCCCCCAGCAGCAGCAGCAGCACCGAGCTCAGCAGGAAGAAGAGAACGTAGACGCCTCGAGACTCTGAGGACGAGCTGCAGCCTGAAGAGACAACAGGAAGTCAGGGGACCATCACATCTGGACAATAAGACAAAGGGCTCTGAACATAGACATGCAGAGGCTCAGTCAGTAGGGACTGTGAGCCGTAGGGTCGCCGGTTCGAGTCCCCAAACAGACCTAAATATGGAGTGTGGACTGCTACTTGGAGAGGTCCCAGTTCACCTCCAGGGCCCTGCCGTGGTGCCCTTGAGCAAGGCACCGGACATTTTCTTTAACACAAATATCTGTACTTTCTACTTCCTACATTTTCAAAACAGGCTGGTTACTTTAATAAATGTAATGAAACGCAGATTAAGACTAGAGCACTTTTTCGAATGCTCAAAGCACTTCACATTACATGTTACACATATCAGACATGTAACAGTGAATACAGACAATTAGGCTGAAGTGCCCAAGGACACAAAGTTATGGGGTACTTTTTACTCTAAGTACAGTTCGAAAGCCCATACTTTTACTTTAGTAAATAAGTTTAGTCAGTACTTCTACTTTTACCAGAGTATTTTTAAAAACGAGTATCTGTACTTCTACTTGAGTAAAGGGTGTGTGTACTGTTGCCATGTCTGGTTAAAAGCAGAGGTCAACTTTCACTGTGTGTGCTGTGTGTGTATGTGTGATTAAAGAGGCTTTCATCCTCCAATTCTATCTATTCTAACTTAGACATGCACAGGGACCCACTACCAACTGTCCAACATGGGAGCTACACACAAAGACTGTCGTTCTTTAGTGTCGTTGTGCGTCTCTTTAGGGTCAATTGGTGTGGTTTTGGTCATTTTGTATGTCTTAGCAGTTGTTTTGTAAAAGGACAAAACAAATAATTGATTTTCTCCGCCGTCTTAGGTCTTTTGGGGCGAGCAGAGAAATTCTTCTGTTGTTCTTTACATCTGTGATCATGTCTATTCTGCAGTACTGCAATACTACCTGGTACAAGTGTTTGTCAGCAGCTTTAAAATCAAAACTGCTCCACCTGTTAAAAATCTGCTCAAAGATTGTTGGTCAACCCTGTCAGAGACTCTATGACTCAGCCTATCATAACAACCTAGTGAGGCTGTCCAACAACATCATCTCTGACCCAAACCATGTTCTGAACAGTGAGTATGAACTGCTACCATCTAATCGGAGATACAGGGTCCCACCATTCAATAAAGTCAGACTGAAGCACTCCTTCGTGCATCAGTCAATCCTCACAGTAAACACAGAGCTACAGATCAAATGCACGCTGACGGCTCTTTGAGCAGCTTTTCTCTCACTGATTGTGCTGTTATGTTAAATGTTTGTGTTTCATGTATTGTGTCTTGATACTGTTTATGTTGGACATGGAGCTGCTGTGACGCAAGTCGAATTTCAGACTTGATCTGACCAATAAAGTAATATCGTATCGTTTGTGTATTTTTTGTGCCATTGAAGTTGTTAAGTGCATCTTTGTAGAGGTGTCATGAGTAATTGTAGTCAACGTGTGTTTGTCTCTATTTCTCTCCATCGTCGTTTTTGTGGTCGTTGGTGGGTATTGTTTGTCTGTGCTTGTTTTGCCCATACTGTGTTTGTCTTTGTGGTTATTGCCCTCTTATTCAGTCATTTTGACTCTATGTTTCTGATATCTCTGTGTAGTCTATCAATGTTTCTTTGTGGTGTCTCTTCCTTGTCGGTCAGATCAGTATCCCTCCCTGCTTCTGGACTCTTTAACTGGGTTCATCTTAATGAAATCAGTGTGTGTGAGAGAGTCCCGCTCACCTGCAGCGTTCTGATTCACACACACAGTTCCTGCCGACCCGAGGAGGGACTCGTCGTGGAAACCTGACCTGCAGCGACACGAGTACGATCCGAACCGGTTCTCACAGTCTGCGTTAAGGTCACAGCGCATCAGCTGCGACAGACACTCGTCCACATCTGAAACACACATATACATTAATGCTAGCAGCCTTTACTGAGATGTGTAACTTCCTCCTAAGGTGGTGCACGTCCATTCTTCTGTTAGTTACCTTCCACAGTTGGTTTTAGGATCCTGTCACAAATACATTTACTCAAATCATTTTTTAATTACACATCTGTCACCCACCATATACATTATCAGCCCAATAAATGTTTTCTTTACTATTTAAAAAACAATTATTTATCGTTTACAAACCAAACAAATTGAATAATTAGCAGATTAGTCTATAAGAAAAAAATTGTAGTTCAAAATGAGCAAAATAAAATTCTGCTTTAATATTAATTAATTAATATTAATTGAAGGAAATAACACATACTAGTATAACAGTTATATTTCTTATGTAAACACATTTAAAAAAGTTCTACACAAATAAACCGAATTGTATATATTTGCCCTTTATTTGTACGCAGTTTGAATCTTGATGCTTTGGATAAAAGCATCAGCCAAATGAAATGTAATGTAATTAAAGTCAGCAGTTTAAAATAAAGTGACTTTTCCACCCTGTGTCAAACTGAAGCCCAGCTGTACCTGCAGTGGACACGGAGAGGATGACAGCCTTCCTGCCGTTTCCTCCGACGCCCACGTGTGTTGAGATGAGTCCCTGCAGGGCGGAGTGCAGCGTCCTGTGGACCTGCAGACCTCCAGGACCCTGATCCAGCTGCAGCCACACGATGAACAGCGCTCCAGCACTCAGCCTGCAAACAACAAGGAGCATCACTGAGGTCAGATCTGAGCTCACAGGTCAACAGGTACATCAGCTAGTGAGTGCACCAAGAGTTGAGACAGTTTGAGCTGTAATGTAAAATGATAACAACCACTCTTCATGTCTCTTCTACATCAACATGTGTCCCCTCTTCTCCATGTCTCTTCTACATCAACATGTGTCCCCTCTTCTTCATGTCTCTTCTACATCAACATGTGTCCCCTCTTCTTCATGTCTCTTCTAGATAAACATGTGTCCCCTCTTCTTCATGTCTCTTCTACATCAACATGTGTCCCCTCTGTGGAAAGAGACTCTGAAAGTTTCAGGAACAAAGATTCTCTCTCTTTTTGTCCTGATCCATTTATAAAAAAACCTGTCTGAAAATGAGCTGATCAGATTTTGGCCACTTTATGATGTCATAACGTATGTTTTGGCTGAGTAACCATTAGCCATTCACCTAACCAAGTAAACCCCCCCCCCCCCCCCCCATACCTTTCACCGAATCTCCTCCTAGAGCACCATTAGCCTGTGTTTCACACCGAGTACTTTTCCCACTTTTAGTTCCGAATAATAGTTCCGAACAATGTCGCGTTCCACCCAAAAAGAGCCCGGAGCTAAAAATTAGTTCATGAGAACTAATCTCATGCGGCCCCTTCTTGTGAGGAAAAGAGCTATATTTCTGATTGGCGCTGGGCGGATTGCAAACCACCGCCCTGTAAAACAAAACAAAAGTGGTTGTGAAGCCACCATTTTATTATTCCTCCGCATTTAGCATTATTAGCATTAGCCATTAGCCCAGCGCAGAAACGCAGAGAGACTAACTTATGGCAACACAAAATAAAACATGGGAACGGTAGAGATCGAGGAGGTGTCGGCGTTCTGGCTGATTTACCTCGGATGGCTTCAGTAGAAGCTGCTGGGAGTCCCAGCAGCCCTTTCTACTGAAGCCAGTCCCCAACTTCCGGGGACTTCCGGCCGGGATTTTGGGGCGGCAGTATACGCCCGTGAAGTTGTTTGCGGCCCTGCCAGTAAACCCAAAGTAGAAGAAGAAGAAGAAGCGGCTTTCTTTTGCCTAATCCACCCTTAGGGATTTATTCCGGTGTGAACGCGATCTGTACTTAGTTCATCAGAACTAAAGAGTTTCTGATGAACTAAGTTCTCATGAACCTTTGTGGGAAAGTACTGCGGTGTGAAAGCGCTTATTTGTGTTCTTTTGTAACCAAATCTCTCTCAGAGGGGCGTGGGGAGGGGGCTCCTTATTTTCAGGCACTTTGGAAACAGGGGCTAAAAAAGAGGGGATTATGGGTAATGCTGCAATGATCTGTTTGGTGTTTCAGCCAATCAGAGACAGGTTCTGTACATATCTGAGACCTGTAATATATTGATGAAAAACAATAAGGGGACCTTTAATGTAATTTCAAAAAATCATGTTTCCTTGATTGATCACTTTTTTAACCTCTCTCTCTCATGTCTTTGGTGAGAGGATCTAAGATGCAAGTGAAGGTAACAAGGTTGCAAAATGCTTGTTTACTTCTTCAACAATACAAGGTATTTGAAAAGCCTGAAAAATGAATATTCAAAGCTGAAAACAGGTATATCTTCTGAGCTCATGTTGGATAGAATAACCAAAACATTCATGCTTTAAAAAAAAGGCGTAAAGGGAGCCTTGCTTCACAAAAACATGTTTCCTTGCTTTCTCTTTCCTTGCATCTCTCATGACGCCTTCAGTAAAAGGTAAAAGTAAACGAAACGAGGCAAAGTCGCCTGACTTGCTTTTCGTCTGCCTCCACAGGTTAAACATGTGTACCCTCTCTCTGTTTAAGTATCATAAACACAAATCTGCAGATTGTACTGTGGGTGTTGTTCACCAACCTTTTTGTTCTTTCAGACGACATGGACAGCGGCGTGTGCAGATTCTCCAGCTCCTTACTGATCTACAGGAACACAACAACTTCAGGTAACAAATGCACCTGCTTCTTTTTAACAACATAAACTCTACATGCATGGTAAATGAAGCAACTTTAAAGAGTCCTCTCCTGCTGATGATCAGGTGTATATCAGTATGTAGTGTCTCTACTTTAAAGAGTCCTCTCCTGCTGATGTTCAGGTGTATATCAGTATGTAGTGTCTCTACTTTAAAGAGTCCTCTCCTGCTGATGTTCAGGTGTATATCAGTATGTAGTGTCTCTACTTTAAAGAGTCCTCTCCTGCTGATGTTCAGGTGTAGATCAGTATGTAGTGTCTCTACTTTAAAGAGTCCTCTCCTGCTGATGTTCAGGTGTATATCAGTATGTAGTGTCTCTACTAGGACATGTCTCCATGCTTCAATGTTCAAAAAGCTCTTTATTTCTCTCACACTGCCTGTGCTGCAGCACCTCTTTTCACCCTCTGTCTGAAACCAGAGCCCAGTCTGCTCTGATTGGTTAGCTGGCCGGCTCTGTTGTGATTGGTCAACCACTTAGAGATGTCCCGCCCCTTAGCCTATCACGTACAATGTTTTGTAGTGATGTAATGGGGACATCGAGAACACAGGTCTTTTAGCCTTTGCACTAAAACCTGTAGAACACACTATAGGAAAGGGAAAACCCCAAAAGCATATTATGACCTCTTTAAATTGTGTTGCTTTGTTGTCACCAACTCACCAAAGCCTCCACAGAGAACAGCAGGGACAGGGCCAGGTTGTCCCAGCTCTCCTCCACATCTGGACTGAAGTTCATTTCCACAGCCACTTCAAACAGGTAATCTGTCAACGCCCCAAAACACAGCGTCAGCCTCCTGCATGTGATGTTTGTATCCTGTGAAATATTAACAGAAAATAAAACACATTTTGAAGATGTGCATCATGTGTCCAATACTCACCACCAGGAAGATGTGAAATTCCAGAGTGATTTCTGATGCGGGCTACGAGAGAGAGTTTAGTTCATTACTAAACATGTAACTTATGGTCTAGAACAGTGCTTTTCAGGCAATCGCCTTAAAACAGATATGTCTAAATTATATAACTAGTCTATAACATTGTGATGCATAAAACACATCGGTGGTTCAGGTATGTAGTAATGTTTCCATTTGAAATATTTAGGTGACTGATCATCCATTATTTTCATTAAGGCCATCTAATCCAACCCAAACTACTAAATGGTCCCAAAATGTTAATTAATCTAAATATTGGGAAAATAATGGTTCAAATTAAATGCATTTCAGCGTAGAGTAAGTTGTTCTGAATGAAAACAAAGATGGACTCACGGTGCGCTCTCTGGTCCGACAGCGGCTCCACCATGTTGGGATGAGGATGAGTCTCCTCTGGTTCTAGTTCTGGTTCTGGTTCCTCTGAGGGGACAGGAAGTTGATCCGAGGCCTCGGTGACCTCCTTTCTGCTCTTATCGTCTGCAGACTTCTCCTTCTCTGCAGCAGTAGCTTCCTCTGGATGTGTCGAAGCTTCCTCCACAGCAGCTGTCGAGATGACTTCAGTGGGTTTGAGCTGCAGGTTCTGACCCTCCTCCTCCTGGTTCGGACCCTCCTGCTCCTGGTTCGGACCCTCCTGCTCCTGGTTCGGACCCTCCTGCTCCTGGTTCGGACTCTCCTGCTCCTGGTTCTGACTCTCCTGCTCCTGGTTCTGACTCTCCTTCTCCTGGTTCGGTCCCTCCTTCTCCTGGTTCTGACTCTCCTGCTCCTGGTTCGGACCCTCCTTCTCCTGGTTCGGACCCTCCTGCTCCTGGTTCGGACCCTCCTGCTCCTGGTTCGGACCCTCCTGCTCCTGGTTCGGACCCTCCTGCTCCTGGTTCGGACCCTCCTGCTCCTGGTTCGGACCCTCCTGCTCCTGGTTCGGACCCTCCTCCTCCTGGTTCGGACCCTCCTTCTCCTGGTTCGGACCCTCCTCTTCCTGGTTCTGGTTCTGACCCTCCTCCTCCTGCTGGGGAGGGACGGATGAATCTGACGGGCCTGAAGGGGTTTGAGAGGCTTCTCTGCCCCATCGAGACGTTACCTGAGTGGATGATTCCACTGTGGGAGTGGCTTTTAACTGGCTGTAGCTCTCCAACGATGGACGTTGATTTTCAACCACCTGAAGGAAAGATAGGTTTAGGTTAGTCATTTGTATCTGTGGGTTGATTTGGTTAGATAGATAATGTAGATAGATAAGAACATGTCTAAGCCTATTTTCTGCAATATTACAAATTCCGTCACCCCTGCGCCACTCTAATAGTGTGGATACAACCAATTTGGTGGAGCCAGGCATTACAGTTGAAGGTTTGATTCCCACCTCAGTGTCCGCACCCTCCTCATTCTCCTTTTTCTCGGCAGTCATCTCTGAAGGCTGATTGTTGAAGTCATACATGAGATCAGGATTTGGATCTGGACGTTCATTTAACTCCAAGAGTCCAGAAGGAAGAGATTGTGACCCCATGTTTGTTTCTGGTAGTCCCTCCTGAGGGTTGTAAACCACGGGGGGTCCGAAGGCCTGTGGGAGAAATAATCAATATATTGTGGCGGAACTTTAAGGGACATCATTTACTGTAGCAGTGGTTTTTTTACATACTAAACACACCGTCTCCAACTCTCACTCATCTACGCTGCATTACTAATATTACTATGTGTTCAATGACCAACAAACATCAGAAGAATTGTAATAAAATATCATAAGAGATGCGCCACGGCTACGTCGTCAGAGGACTACAGAAGAAGACCCGCCTCCGTCGACATCAGCCAATGGAAGAAGACTAAATACGATGTTATAGAGAGAAACGATCTCTTTCATTCTTGCACCTGCAGACAGCTAGCTGAAAGTGGACTGTGGACAAGTGAATTGGATTTAGGAACCACAGCTGTGCTCCCTTGTAAACCTACCATAGCCTTAACATATAAACTTTTCGAGAAGCTTCCTGGTCTTCTTTAGACTAACTCTTGGTCTTCAAACAAACAAAACATGAAACCTGATATCGTCCGTAGAAGCCCCTGTAGGGTGGGGTGGGCCAACCCCCGATCAGCAGCACCACGTACAGAGTGTTGGAGGACGACGTGTATTTGGCCTCTTTCCAGCACTTCTGCAGGACGTTGGTGCCCCCAAAATGTCCCGTGGGCTCGTCCACGTGCACCTGGTCGTCTTTGAGGTGGCAGGCGTCGTCAGGGGTCAGGTCCTCCAGGTACAGGTCGATCCTCCAGGCAGGGGCCACCTGGATGGTCCAGTTACACCACAGGGGGGGGTTGGAGCACATGTAGTCCGGGGAGTAGAAGTCCCCGGAGTCGCCCTTCAGCAACTGGTGGCAGCTCCGCTGGGCGAAGAAGGCGCTGCCGTCTCCTCCACGACCTTCTGAGGGGAAACAGAACAGCTGTGGCTTTAAAAAAGGTCCCTTAAGCTATTATACTGTTTATCAATCTGTTACAGGTCTCAGATATATACAAAACATGTCTCAGAAGTGATTGGCTCCAAACACCAAACAGATCATTGCAGCATTACCCATAATCCCCTCTGTTTCAGCCCTGTTTCCAAAGTGCTGATTCTCTGTCTGTTACTTTAGATGAAAATAAGGAGCCCCTCCCCACGCCCCTCTGAGAGATATTTGGTTAAAAAGAACACAATGGTGCTCTAGGAGGAGATTAAGGTGATAAGAGGGAGGGGGGTTACCTTGGTTGCTGATTGGCTAATGGTTACACAAGACAAAACATCGTTATGACATCATAAAGTGGCCAAAATCTGATCAGCTCATTTTCAGACAGGTTTTTATAGAAATGGATCAGGAGAAAAAGAGAGAGAATCTTTGTTCCTGAAACTTCCAGAGTCTCTTTCCACAGAGGGGACACATGTTGATGTAGAAGAGACATGGAGAAGAGGGGACACATGTTGATGTAGAAGAGACATGAAGAAGAGGGGACACATGTTGATGTAGAAGAGACATGAAGAAGAGGGGACACATGTTGATGTAGAAGAGACATGAAGAAGAGGGGACACATGTTGATGTAGAAGAGACATGAAGAAGAGGGGACACATGTTGATGTAGAAGAGACATGGAGAAGAGAGAGGGGACACATGAAGAAGAGGGGACACATGTTGATGTAGAAGAGACATGAAGAAGAGGGGACACATGTTGATGTAGAAGAGACATGAAGAAGAGGGGACACATGTGAAGGAGAGGGGACACATGTTGATGTAGAAGAGACATGAAGAAGAGGGGACACATGTTGATGTAGAAGAGACATGGAGAAGAGGGGACACATGGTGATGTAGAAGAGACATGAAGAACAGGGGGCACATGTTGATGTAGAAGAGACATGAGGAAGTGGATTTTGCTAATAGGTGACCTTTAACACACGATTTATTTGAACTCTGTCACTTCACCTGAGACAGAACTTATTATCAGTTCACTCAACACTAGCAATAATTGTGGGAGAAACTTCTGTGTAGCAATGGAGTGGGAGTCACCGACTCATGAAGGAGACACGGGGAGAGCTGGAGCTTTGATGTCAAACACTGATGGTTTATTTAGAGCTTCGGCCGGAGAATTCACATCACAAGTCCAAGAGCCAGAGGTTCTGACTGCACGGGAGAGTTGCCACGTCAAATCTGAAGAACTCTACCCCAGACCCATGTATTTAGCTAGTTCAGAGAGACTAATCAACATTGCTGCATAACAAGATAGAATCATTCATAACACCTCTATCAGCTGACGCCAACAGGCAGGAACAGGGAGACAAAACACTGAGAGCACAGCAGCCAAGGCTACGGGTGCGTGGGCTCAGTCAGGACAGTTTGAACTGGGTCAAAGTTATGGACCTTGGAAAATATTTCCCCAACAATAATAATAATAATAATAATAAAACATTTGATTTGTAAAGCACATTTCGTTACTAAAAGTCATTTCAAAGTGCAGAAGGTCTTTTCTTTCTTGTAGTAATTTTTGTTATTACATTACATTTAGCTGAAGCTTTTATCCAGAGCAACTTACAATAAGTACATTCGACCAGGAAACTTTTGTGAAGTCATTGTTGAGCTAATTACTACAGTATTAATCAGGGTTGGGAGGGTAACTTTAAAAATGTATTCGAGTATAACAATATACAAGTAATGTTACCTGAATACTTTGCATTACTTTTGGATTAACTCAAAGTGCAATTCCAATAAACACAAGCAAATAAATATACATAGTATGATTTGTTCTTAAGTGTATTCTGTAAAACACCAGAAAAATGTAACCTAAGAAAATAAGTATCTAAAATGTGTAAATTATAGGCTGCCTACAGAACAGTAGTTTAAAAATGCTGTTTAGTTTAATGCATTAATAAAAAAGAAAACAATATTTTAGTTAAAGCTGCCATTTTCTTATATTTCCAACATGGTTTTCAGATTATTTAAAATCAAGTAACACATATAGAAAGAGAGATGTCAATATCGATTTGATTTGAAGATTTGCGGCTAACATGGAAGGAAAGTCTGAAACTTAGATATTCGTTAGATAATCGAAAAAAAAGTGTAGATCTGTTTTCACAGATTATTTTACCTGTTGATTTTCAAATGCACAGACAAGTAAAAACATTCCCATTCAAATCACATGCCAAATACCTTTTGCTCGAGTGTCATCTGGAGGTTTGTTGGCTTCTTCTGTCATCACCTGCAAACACAAGAAAGCAAAAACAAACAATTAATTAAACTATTTTAAAGTATGAACACAAAACAATGTCTCATGTTAATCCTACCTGTGAGTCACACTGCTTCCAAAATACTCCAAATATCAGAAGAAATATGAGCAGCACTCTTTTAAAGCTAATACTGTTCTTTTCAGGCATTTTATTACTTTGTCTGTTAAACTTGTCTTAGTGCTTCACAGTTTTAGTTCAACTGCAGTTCGCCTTCCTGTGTGAGCAGCTGAAATTCATCAGGAAGCTGATTGTTTGCCTGCATGTGAACAGATGATCCGTCCACCAGAGGTCCCCGTTGGGTTCACATCTCTATCCTCATGTAATGGTTCAAATTCACAATACACTTTTATCCAGCAGGGACAAATGCATATTTTTTAAGACTTAAAATAACATAAATGTTGTAGCTGTGTTTGTACCAGTAAATATCCTATCCTTAAAGTCCTTACAAAACATTAGAACACAATTATCTATTGTTGTATAGAAGACCATAAATAAGTAAACAATAAGCAAAGTAGATTGTCCAGAATGTGCATTAGTGCTACGGACAATCTTGCACTAATGCACATTCTCAAAATATTGAAGTGAATTTTATTTTGTATATATTGATTGTTGTGGGGTTTTTTTAGGTCTTAATGTAAAAATGTGTCTTTGACTGTGTATATATATATATATATATACATATACATATTTGCACACGTTTTTATATTTTTATATACATTGGTTTTTATATTCAGGATTGTGGGAAACGGTATTTCGATCTCTTTGTACACACGAACTGGAAGATTGAAAATAAAGTTGACTTTGAAAGTAGTCAGTAAAGTATAAATAAGATTGTTAAAATATATATAAAATAGGCTTCATGTTAAACTTCTGTTGACACCACTGTCTAGCAAGATAATATTTCTATTAATATTAACAATAACAATAAGTTAATATCCCTTTTCATAATAACAACGATAAGAATAATAATACAAATATTCTCATTAAAGAAAATGTAAACTTAAGATATAAAAAAAATAATATCTTACTTATTACTTTTGGGTTATTGTTGTCAACAAAATAAAAATATTGAATACAATTTATTCAATATGTATCCATAGGGAGGCGTGCGGCGCAGTGGATTGTGCGTTGGTGTTGGGATCAGGGGAGCACAGGTTCAAACCCCACTGCAGTCAGCATGTCGTTGTGTCCCTGAGACACTTTGCTCCTGTGGGGATTGCCCACAGTATTGAGTATGTAAGTTGCTCTGGATAAAAGCGTCTAACAAGTAACATGTCATGTAATGTAATCCAAAGGCAAAACACAAGAGAGATTTTAATATTTTCACTTAGTGGAACAGATTTATAATGAGCAAAATAATTGTAATAAACAAAAGAGAAGAGGACAAGTGTCAGCCCATTATACAAAAATAATAATGAAATATTCTAATAAAAGAAAATGCAAACTTAATTAAAATAAATAATAATGTCAAGTGAATGTGGAAATAATTTTTGGGAAATGTCAAATAAATGTGTATTGTCAACTTAATAATAAAAACAGGATAACAAAAACACAAGATATATTATTTTATTCTCATTGGAACAGATTTGTATCATCAAAACCATTTAAACAAACAATTGAAAACAGGACCAGAGTGAACCCAAACACATCTGTTGATGAAGGTGATGGAAAAACACATTTATTGCTAACAATATATTATTAAAATACAAATACAGAGAATGAATGCACAGTAACAGCAGCAACATCACATTTGAGATGTTAAAAACAACACTGAGCATTTAATAATAACTACAAAATGTAGATTTTCAATGTATAAACTCTGTAGTCTTGTTTTGGCTTTACAGAAAACAGTCTGTGTGGGATCAGAGTTCATCTCCTTTTAGTAGAAGCAGTAAATGTTGTGGTAAATGTAGGAAAATATCAGCTACCAACATTTTTCTTCACTTGACACACTACGTACCAAAAACGTATCTTTTACCACTAACACTGGTTTGTGTACAGTATGAATGCATGATTTTTTACTTTAAAAAACTATTGTGTGCATATGCTATCTGGCTAACATTAGCAAGGGGTCATTTTGGTTTGGTCAGTTTCCCAAATGCTTACTTTCAAGTATTATACAGATAGTTGAAAAACAAATATTAGATGTATAGAGTCCGCTTAAAAACACTGTTGATAACTCAAATAAAAATATTACTAACTGACAAAAAAAAATTTAAAACGAAAAAATCTGTTGAAATGTCATGTTTTTTGTTTAATTTTGCATCGAATATTTCCAAAATTCCCCAGCTTAACTTCCCATGGAAACTTTCCGGAAATGTACCGGAAATGTTCCGCCCCTTTGCAACCCTACTCACAGGACAAGGCCATGCCATTAAAAGATCTTACTGAAAATATTGTGTTATGTGCAATTGTTGCCTGACTCTCTCTAGACAGGACTGATTTCAGGTCGCTGCAACAGAGTTCAACCCATTTAACAAGGTGTTGTAATCTCAACAGTGCAAACACACATGCAGGTGTTCACTGGCAGCCTCAGGTATGTTTAACATAGATAAGATATGGAGCAGCAGGAACATTTAAAGGTGGTGCATGAATACCAAGGACAGAATGGCTGACTAACATAAAGAGGTGGAAAACAGCAGTGGAGTGCATGAGACCGGCGGGCAAGCGAGTATTTGGAGGCAGATAGGGAGTCATCAAAGTGCCCCAAGGACCCTACGAGAGTAACCTATGGATGTATAAAGAGAATTGGATACAGCATTGGAGACGGGTCCACGAATGGAGTGACAGTAGATAAAAAGGTTCCTGGATCTGGGCCCATTGAGCACACTTGAGTTTTCCTTAAGCCCTAACTCCGATTTCCCGCTCTCGACTCAGTCAAATGAATGGAGAGGGGATTCAGCTTTTAGCACATTTCACAACTTTCAGACCCTAATGATTTGAAGAGGTCAGTAACATTGATTTGAAGAGGTATTTAAAAGTGTTTGTATTGGGTAATTTACTCAACTTAAAAAAAGAATACAGATGTCTCTTTCCCAATGTATGGAGTAACCTAGGCCCCCAGAAAGTGTGCCGGATATTGAAGCAAATTCTATTCGCAGTGCCCAAACGGCGGTATTACATCTTCTGTCAGTCAGCGATTTAATTGGGCTGAAAAAACTTTTTCCCGTTTTCATGTCTGTAAATCTACCCATCACGTACACTCTATAGCACTTATTTAAATCATTTGGGTGTAAAAGTTGTAAAATGTGCTAAAAGCTAAATTCAGGATTATTTTACCTCTCCATTCATTTGACTGAGCCAAGAATAGGAGATAGGAGGCGGGGCTTAAACAACACATAAGTTCCCATGCTCTATGGCCCCAGATACGGGTACTTTTAAGATAAGATAAAATAATAAGATGTTCTTTATTAATCACAATTCGGGAAAATATTTTTGTACTCGAGAGTCAGACCATTTTGGCTTCATACACTACTGAGCAACTTTCATTGGACAACACGGGGTCCCACCTCCAACTCTGTATCCAGTTCTCTTCATAAATCCATAAAGTTACCTGACTTGACCCTCACTGGCAGTCCAGCTCCGGGTGGATGATCCACGGCCAGATGGTCAACATCTCCTGTGGCGTGCAGCTGTGCACCAGCATCAAGGTCCTGTAGACGCACGGGTTGTCCCTGTGCTTCGCATCAATGCCAAACGTCCTGAAGCCTTCATGCTTCTCAGGAGCCAGGCCCAGCTTCTTCAGACACATCCCCGTGTAGACATCGTCAATGGGATAAAGCACCACCTGCCGGGATGCGTTGTGGAGACGCAGAGCCAACTCCCCCGAGTACAGATATCCTCCGCCACCTGCATAAGTCGGGTACATCCCCACAAACACACTCTCTGGGACAAAGTACTTGAGTCTCCGGTTCCTGTGAGGACCGGCGTCATTGATAACATCACCTATGAACAGATCCTTGGCTTTTTTCTCCGGCAGGCCCTCTAGGAGGTCTACAATCCGTACGGTGTTGACGAAGACGTCGTCGTCACCCTTCAGGATGAACTGGCCGTGGGGGCAGTGTTCGCTGAACCACTCCAGGAACAGGACCTCCTTCAGGGTGAGGTTGTAGAAGGTGTCCCGGTAGTCCCAATGGAGGACGTCTTTGTGGAGCTTGGCCTCGTGGTCCAGCATCCCCAGCAGGTCTGGGAAGTGATCCACGGGCAAGGTGTTGCCTAGCAGGAACACCGTCACCACTGAGCGATTAGCTATGACCCCCGCCCGACCCCATGTTTCACGGATGGCCTGCCGCCGGTCAAAGTGTGGGATCAGGGATTTGACCGCCAGCAGCAGGAAGGGTTTTCCCTTACAGACATGAGGCTGGTTTATCAGCATGGGGTATGTCCTGCAGCGCATGTGCAAAAGAAAATCCTGGAAGCCCTTTGGCAGGGAGTTGTAGTCCATAATTTGCATTGGGACTCTGTTATCCGGCTCACAGAGGTCAGGGGGCCCGGTGTTATTCAGCCAATCAGGCAGCTCGATGAGGGAGTCGCTCGAGTGCAAAGAGTTCACAATGGGGTTGAAGAGGAAGTCCAGATGCTGCTGCTCCTTGTTCCAGAAGGATTTACTCTCTTCCAGCCTGTGCCAGAACCTCTCAGATGGGATTCGAACTTTGTGGCGGCCACTTTTGTGACGCCGGAGGTTCCACGTGACGCAAACCAGGAGGCAGACGAAGACGTTGAGCATCATGATCACGCAGAGCTTTCTGCGGCCTGCAGACATGATGCCTCCCCTCTGCGTCTATAGAAAGGACAGCAACATTAAGACAATCCATGAAAATCAACACAAAGCAGGAACAAATCTGCAGAATCAGGACTTACGACAAAGCCAAAAGGGACATTTGGAAACATGGAGAAAGATAAATCGAACCTAAAACTTTTATAAAAAATAAAACTAGATGAATCTGAAGCAGAAACTCAACAGGAAGCTTGATTTCACCACTGCTTGGTTTCAGAGCTCAAGACGGCGACGAAAGAGGCCACATTTTAATCTCTGATCCTGCAGGAACGGGCCCCATGAGCCTTTTCTCCTCACCCCCTCAATCACATGTTTCCAATTCAGCCGTGCACATGACGCTGGTTAACTGACAGACGTTTTTGTTATTGTCCACTGACTGACACACACAGATGAGCACTGTGCACTTTCATGAGAGACTGAGCATGCAGCAATGCAACGTTTTTCAGTCACTTAAATACATGTAGAAACTTTTTGCTGTGGACAGAAGCCCTAAACAGTTATACCACTAGATGTCACTACTAAGTTTGTTTTTTTGTGCAGATTTTATTTATTGAAAAACAGATGATGTTTAATTTACATTGCAGTCCCAACATGTACCTACATAACGTTTTAATTAATAGAAGAGATATAGTTACAAGTCATTTTGAATTAAAAAACAGTTTCACATGAATATACTCATATAAAATAGCAAGTGGAATACAATTCAATAAGACGACACGTGTCCTACTTGATTGGGTCACATTATACGGAAGCAATTAAATAAAAACACTGCAGATTTTTCCTACACATTTTTATATGAAATAGAAGGTAGAATAAAGTCCAAGAAAATATGTGTGTCATATTTATCCAGCGTAGTAATAATGTATGTTATGGATGGAGTTAATGGGCCACATGACATGGAAGGTATTGAAAAATGTAATGAGAAACTGCTGAATGTGCATCAAAATGTTAATATGAAAAATAGAAGGTGGAACAAAAAAGAGGTGTGTCCCACTGTGTATAGTAATACATATGCCTTTGTTTGAGTCATTAGGTCACATGACAGGAAAGCTATATATCACCTGAGACAGTAGAGGGGGGTCAGTTGGGGCTGGAGGAGACACAGCGCTCTCCAGGTCTCATGTGGAGGAGCTGCAGGAAGGAGAACCACGTCTCCAACAAGAACCAGACGGTTGTTTCTGCATCCATCTGCAGTTAAACACAAAGGCACATTAACCAGGAAGAAACTCAGCGAAGTGCAGGGATCATTTGGGTTATAAATTGGGTTTGTTTGTCCAGAGAGGCGACTAAAGTAATTTAAGCTTGCTATAATGATCTTCAGTTACACGCCTTTAGAGTAGACCAATCACACAGAAGTGAAGCAACACTTGCAGACTGTCAAAATGAACATCAAAGTTTACTTAAGGGCAAATCTTAATGTACTGCCTGAGCCTGAGCAATGTTTACAGAGTGGTAGACTTTGTATAAAAGATTAATTATTTATCCAACTGCAGAGCTGTAAAACTTTAATTGTAGTGTGAACAGGAAAATACAGTGTGTTCTTTACTGAAAGATAATCTGATTAGATAAAAGAGATGTAAGTGTTTTCATTTTGTTTATATAGTATATTCATTTTATATATTAACAAATGAAGTTTACTGCCATGTGTTTTTATTATAAATCAGGGGACCTTTTGACGTCCATTATAACTTCAGAATACAAAATTGCAAAAAACAATATTTGAGTAATGATTTTAAAATCTGAGTTTTGAGATTAATAGCAGGGTTTATTTTACTAGTTATTTTACTTTTGACATTACTCACATGTGGACTGAACTCAAATAAACTGTTCACATTTGGCCCTAATCCGCTTCCGTAGTTTACACCGACAGATGCGATGGACTCATTCTAAATCTGAGTGAAGCAGTGAATTACACTTTATTGCTCTGTTTTCCCTAAAGTTAGAGCCCTTTTCTACACTATAACACAGAAACAACAGGAATAAACACTTGATTTATTCAACACATGTCATGCAAGTTATACCACACAGTACTATCTACAAGTACAAAGTCAAACTGCTCTTGTTTTTGTACTTTAAGATTTACTCAGCGGTCAAACTCTGTTACCGTACGGTTATTTCGCATATTTGCGCAATAACAACAATACAAACGTTGGGAGTTATATCTGTGACTAACTTACCTCTCAAACCGCCTCCGCACGTCCTCGTTGTGAAATCAAATTAAAAGGCAGATCAACAGGCTGCAGCTCGTGCACCCTCATTCCTTCCTTCACGCGGCGCGTATTTTGGAGATCAACTGCGCACTAATCCTCATTCACTGAACTACGAACACTGTGAAACCATTTTCAATCTTTACATATCCAACAGACAGGTCACATCCTCTGTTCACTGAGGGGGGAAAGGTGGAGAAGTTTAGCCGAAGTGAGAGACTCCCCTGCGCTCAGACTCCTCCCTCAGGTTGCATGGCCGCAGTTCAAAAGTGTTACAAGGATTCCCAAGTGCAAAACACACACCCTCCCCTTTTTACCCCTCTACATTGAACATCTTAAAATCTGGGCTGAAGTGTAGTGGTAGACCAAATACTCAGATCTTGTAAAGAAGTATTACTACTAATACAATAGCCTACTGTAGAAATATTATGTTGTGAGTTAAATACCTGCTAAAAAAGTTCAGTGTATCAGCATCAAAATGAACTTAACAAAGATGAATCCTGCAATGTTTTCAATTTATATTTTTTAATCATTGCTGTGGTCATTAGTTGAATGTTGTAGATGCAAAAATAGGGTTTCTATATTTTTTTTATGTATGCATTATACTAATCTTAAAGGTGGGGTAGGTAAATTTGAGAAACCGGCTCGAGATACACTTTTCATTTTCAAAAATTAATAAAAATATTTAATCTGTGGAAGCCGTAGTACTGTAAAAAGCACGACCAATCATCTGAGCCGGCCCGGCTAAAAATAACTGGATGGCCTACCTGCCTGTCAGCCTTCCATCTGTGAACAAACTTATCTCGTGCCCTCATTGATCATGTGCGCGTTCGTGTGTGTTGGAGGAGGGGCTCTGTAAGGAAGTGGCAGATTTGTTCCGGCTGTGTATTTTCTAATTCTAGTGCACTCGAGCTGGTTTCTCCAAAATGACTTACCCCACCTTTAACCTATAATAATGCTGTAGTGTTGGAGAGAAACTCCCTCTGGAGGGAACACAGGGGTATTAGTTTTTTCAGACCATAACATACACAAAACCACTACAGGAAAGGGAAACTCCAGAAGTATAATTGGATCCTTTAATATCTGTTTGCAGACTTTCCTGTCCTGTGAGTAACCACATACCTGGCTATAGGGAGAGATGTCTCGTTACTAATGATCCTATCTACTTGAGGGGAGAGACAGGGTGCGACAGCGTTGAACCAACGCACACCACACCATTCTCTATCTACGCGTTAACAGAACGGAAGTCAACTATTTATACAACAACAACACACTATAGGTGGGCATGTGTCAAGACAGTAACTTCCAGTACACCTAACACTCCACAGCAGAATGTGTCTCCTACTTTGTATATTTAACGGAGTGGGACGAGAGCATGATGAATTGAAAACAAAGGAGGTCGTGTGTACGTACTCCGCACCCACAACAATGTATAAATAATGACGTGCAAACGATAGACACAGAGTGTTCAACGAATAAAGTTATCTCCACAACCGAACGTCACGGAGACCTTCATATCTATAGTCCCTCCTCACAGGTCCGGTATTGACCAAATTACCGAGAAAGTCCGACAACAACACTCTATCAACAAACAAGATTACTAAATTATAATACATCTCGCAGGCTTCCGTAGATAACGTCGAACCACCTCTATATTATTATTTTTTGTGAAATAGAGTCCCACTTGGTTTCACGGCATGACCATTGGGACGGAGGAGATGATTTATTGACGATGCTGTCTGTTGGCGTGGTCGGGGGGTGTGTCTAACTACACGGAAAGGACAATCAACGTAATGTGATTCGAGTACCGTACGAGAACGTGTACTTCCCAAAGCGCTTGGTACGTCTTAAAATGCAATGAAAAAAAAGAGAAAGGTCAAGTCACGATTAAACGTTTTTTAGGACCGCTCTATATAATTTTTCGTCCAAAGTCCTTTACAAATCGAAGCCAGTTAGTAAAAAGTCTTAGAACCATGTTTACAAAATACCACAAAACCACCTAAGAATCGGGTCTTCCAGTGTTAACCAAAGACGAACAGATCCGGAGTTCATTTGTACGCTAGTGGTTTTAATACGCATAAAAAAATGTTGTCACCGCATAATAAAATGTCAGAGGGAGAGAACGCGTGAATTTCGAAGTCGGAACCCGGGACAAACCTTCTACGTCCCCTAGAAGCGCGTACGTTTAGGGAGAGAAAAAAACAGGTTAGAAGAAAAAGAGGACAATCTCAACGCTACAATTACAGTGTCGTTTTTTTCGTAAACAAATAAGAGAAACCCGAAAAATTTAGAGTCAGAGACATGGTCGTCTTCACCTGGCCTACAGTAGACCACCCAAGTCCAATTAGTGCAACTGTCCGTCGGTTCATCCTCACTGGATCGTGCGAGTATATACCAACTGGGGTCTTGTAAGTTGGAACAAGACCTACCTAAAAACGTACTATTTATCAAATCGCGCTCATATTACCGCATGCTTTCCTTCCTACCAAGAAAAAGATCAAATTACGATTAAATAAAATCTCGTACTACACAACGAGCGAGACTAACACCTGTCAAGAACCCGACCAAGAGACCGATACACAAGAAAGATATGGAAAGAAAACTACACATAAAGGGCTGCAGAAGCCATGAGGATACGATGACGGCCCATAGAAGTATGCGTCGTAGTATCCCAACCTGACCCTCTCGTCCAAACG